AGAGTCGAGGCAAACCATCTTAATTGCAAGTGCTGTTCATAAATTTAAAATTTATTTACTTGTTCTTCTAGTATGATAGAGAAAAATGAAATAAATTAATAATGTTATGTTTAGTTTGAACCGTATGAAAAAAATTTTGACGAGTAAACTATCTACAAACTGCAGTGAAATAATTCCATAAATGCTTCATAAAAAATGTTTTTTTGTTTGAACTGAAAGAAGCTTTTCTCACTGAAAATACCTAACTGGGCCAATCATTGAATGCCCTGAATAGTTGCAAATTGAACGGATGCCTTTCGACCCGGCATAGAGTTTAAGCCAAGTTCTATTCATACAAAATATTAGTTAACTATTTGTTCAAAATGTTTGCATACCGCGGGCATGAATAGGTTTTTCCCAGCTGCTAACCGCTGCAGAAAAAGTTCCCTATTTGTTGGCCGTTTTGGTTGCAATGTGGTAACCACAATGTACGTGAAGTGGCGATGGGACACAGCGTGCTGGCCAAATGCTCATATGCGAGTTGTTTATGTTGTCGTTTTGTTTTTTGGTCGTTTTGTTGGCCGCGCAATTCGCCAAATGTTCAGTTGGTGTTGCTGCCACCGCCGCGCTGCCACTGCCGCATAAATTGTTGCCGCTTTTGAGTTTAAGCCAACAGTTTGTTCGCTGGTCAGCCAGCACTTTCGCCCTTTCCTCCCGCCGAAATCCGACCTTTAGTTAATTGCTGTTGCCGCTGCAACATGATTGCACTTATTGGTCAGCAGCATAATCAAATGTGTAACTTTTTCGGGGCAAGTTGCAGCCGCATGAAAGTTTAATTAGAAATCTCGCATGTGCGGTGCTCACAGGGCGTATGCGTAATGCAGTAAGGGTGAACTGAATTTAACCCATAAAGAATTTGTGTGTGTAGTAGAATGATTTTCAACTATAGTTCATATGGGAAATGAATTTCGCAAAATAAGAAAACCAAAATCGACGAATAATACTATTAATTATGACATAATAATTGAACTAATATATGTAATTTAAATTCTCTGTTTTCCCCCAAACAAGGGTTAATGCAAAACTAATTTTAGCTCATAATTAGGCCACTTGCAAGTCGACAGTCTCTCCTCCCCGTAATCAGGCTTTTTCTTCAACTCTGGCTCATTAAAAATAGCAGCAACAACGGGCTAAAACAAACAGCCAAACAAACCTTTCACCTTCACACAGCTGCTGCTGGGAGCATATTTTATATAATTTCTTGGACCGACGCAAATGCAAGGCAATGCAGCTCAAGTCGCTGGCGTTAACTTAATTTCCCTGCGCGTATAATTGCAGGCTCTGACGAGTTGTTGGCGAAACTTTTGTTGGCTTAATTGAGGGCATCATTATTTGGCTAACAAGAACGGGCAGCAAGGCGAACTATCCCCAATTATAAGTCAAATGAAAGTTGACCCCTTGTCGAAATGAATACTTCTTGGGATTCACACCCCAAACCATGTATGTGTACCTTTCTATACAGGCCCAGCGAATGCCTTTCGGGTTTAACGTTTCATTTAATATTTAGCCAAATTTACTCGGTCCCATAAATCAATGCCAAACAACAGGCCGGGGGCTCCCTTATGAATACTCAAGTGTCTCGCCGAGCAACAAATGGGACAAATTTCCATTTCAAGCCAATGCCGCATAAATGGCACATAATTTACGATACGAGCAACAGAGAAGCAGCAACAGCAACAGCAGCGGCGGCGGTGGCAGAAGCAGCTAACCAAACATGCAGCTAACTATCCAAAAAGCTGGTAACAATATTAGTTAGCATGAGCGGCAACAGCAACAAAAGCAACCGAAATACACTGAGAGGAAAATTTGAAATTTAAATGAGTAAATAATCTTTAAATTAGAACAAGGCTTTGCTGAAACATTAACCAATATTTCAACAGCTGAGTTTCCGGAGAAAGCCTTACATTTGGACACGGCTAGATAGATTTGTAAGGTGAGGTTTTACAAGATCTTAAAAGCCCGAATGGGTATAAAAATATCTATCTTGAAGTAGCGATCGTTAAGTTCCTCTGGTAAAACTCAAAATAAACCCAAAAAAGGACTAAAAGGGATACTATTTATTTCTAGTGTAGTGGCACCATCGGTCGGAATCAGAGAGTAAACTTTACATTTGTGTTGCCTGTTGTTGGGAATACCCGCACCCGAACTGGCCGGCGTCAATGTGTGAAGTAATTAATTACAAAGCAACTGATGTGTATCTGTGTGGGTGGCCGCCTGCGAGTGTGTGCGTGTGCCTTGGGTTTCGGATTATGATGCATGATCGTATATGTTGCTCCACTCTCGAAACCCAAAACCCACACGCACACGCACACTCCGGAGCAGATAGGTAATGCCGTACAAGTACACACCTGGTCCCCTTTCCTTTTTGGATTTCAAGTGGGCAAAAATTGATTTGATTTACACCTGTGAGGTGAGAAAACGCAGCGGATGTCCAGGCTCAGATGCATTTTGGTAATTGCACAAAGCAACGAAAGATTTGAGCCTGACAGATTGAGATGGGGTGTATACTAAGAACCAGATTTCTGTTTTTAATATAATAACTATTTCCTTCCCTTATTTAATTATTTCCTTTTTGCTTAATTCTAGAAAAATACTTTTAATTATACTCCCATAATTAAGATGTAAAATGTAAAGCTTGGAACATTATGTCTCGTTATAATCATAGATTATGGACGTTTCTTGTGTGCTTGTGGGCTTCCATTTCCCCCATAAAATTCATATGTCATTACTATACCCATGTAAATTCCAGACGCACCATAATTCCGTTTCCTTAGAGCTAAGGCCCCGAAATCCGGAGCCAAGGGTATTCCTCATTAGCACGGCAACTTTAGGCGTTGTCTGCCATCGGGGGCTAATTGTCCCGGCGACTTTCTATGGGCAATTCGATTTAAAATTGCGGCTCGGGAGCTTCAAGGATATATTTATGAATCCCAAACACGTGATGGGCGCAAAAGTACGGGCCGCGAGGGTGCCAGCTATTTAGGTGGGGGTGCATTTAAATTAATCACAGTAAAAGCGAATTGCCCAAAACAATGTAATATCCCGTGCAAGGTCCTTTGGGGAACGGAAATCTGTAAACCGTGACGAGACCGAAACCAGAGCCTGTCACTGTGTCTGTGAGAGTGTTTGGGTGTGTGTGTGCGTGGGTATTCCTCTGTTTGTGTGCGTGCGGTTGCTCAAATTAAAACAAAGTGTCGTGCGTTTGATGAAAATGTAACGCATTTTGCTTAGCCACCCAGCGTCGCACATAAATGCTAATTGGCTTAAATGTATGCGTGTGTGTGTGTGTGGATGTCTGCCTGTCTGGGTGCTTTTGTCCTTCTGCGGGTGTGTGTATATTTTCGGCATGTGACCCCCTCTTCCCCATCAGCTTTGGCGGGGAAACGTTTTTCTACCAGCCAGGTGTTCAAACTTAAACATTTTATAGTTCGGTTAATTGTCAAAGCCGTGGCAAAAGGCAGCCAAAAGTAAAAGGGTGCGCCAAACATTTGATGACTCAATTATTCGATGGTTTTTGTGGTCGAGCTGGTGGTTAATCTGTTGGGGGATCCGGCGGGGAAGGATGTTGGGTTGGGGTGCGGTGGTACTCAGAGGGAAATGCTCCTTTCGCAAGTCCTATCCTTCATAACTAAACAAACTAAAGGATTTTTGAGTAAGTGTATCTTATAATTCCCAACGAGTTCAAGCCTTTTGGGGTAAGTTAATGGTTATTCATTTAACCTTTGATATGTTAAAATATCAAGGACTACATGATGATCCTTTTCTTATATAATTAATTAAACCTATTGATTTTCGTGTGTTTTGTCCTAACTTACTACCATACTATTTCTCAGTGTAATTCCCTTCATTGTTCCATATAAAGTCGGAATCGTTTAGGCATCTGTCGCTTTGATTAGCATGACCTCTACGTGATTTCAGCCCCCTCAAAAAACTGAGACTAGCTGGTAAAAAAAAGGAAAGAAAATAGGTGGAGGCAAGCTTAAACGTAAAGCGCTGAAGAGAATTGAAAACAAGTGAAATAAAGTGATTGGCCATAACATTCGCGCGTACGCGTGCACTTTCCATTCTACAAGCTTGGCTTTTCCATTTCCTTTCGCATTTCTTGAGTCGTCTGTGCCTCTGCCTTTGTGTGCCCACAATTCTATGCTATTTTTATGTTTATCTGCCTTCACTCCATTACGACTTTATGCTCTTTAGCAGACAATCAACATTGTTGCCGCCGCTGCCGCCGGCACCCGGAACACCCCCAGAACATCACGACCCACCGACACCCCACCCGGGGGTGGCTATAAGAGTGCCGTTTTTCTGGGCGGACAATGCCCGTGCGAAAAATGCAAATTGCGAGTGACGGAGTGGCGGATTGGCGGAATGAAGTGAATGGGCACCGAATGACTGAATGAATGAATGAATGAGTGATTGTTGCCGTGAGCCAGACATTTAAAGGAATTTGCGCTGCTCCGCTTTGATAAATAGCAACCGCTTGGCCTAGCCTCGATTTGGACTCCCTCATATGCCATAATTTATGCAAATTAATTTATAAAAAAAAAAGAATATGTACAGTCGGTGCCAAATGGGAGGGGCAAGTGCAAAATTGTTCGCGGCAAGTACATAAATATAGTGCGCCTTAAAGTATGGCTCATTTATATGGCTTTATGCTTTATGCGTAATTTCAGGCGCTGACATTTATGATGTATGGCCAAGGACAGCAGAGTTCAAATAAATAGTAATGCTTGAGCATCAAAATACCAGAATATGATTATAAAAAAATAAATTTAATAAAAACCCTATGATAGCTTAAATTTTTATCATTTTAATAGGCTAAGGCCTATATAGTTATATTATATTCTTCAGAACATATCCTATTTTTTTAAACGTACCTGTCCGTTTATGAGCACGCAGTGGAGTTGCCATGACGGCTGACGAATGACTGGCTGCCCTGTGGCCTGTAACTGGAAGTCAGCCTCAAAGTCAGACAGGCTGGCATTCGCTTACCTGTCTGAAATCCGTCATGTGAATTTGCTTAGACTTTCTGGGCATCTAGTGAGCGATCACGTTAAATTCAATCTGTGTAAGGTAAAACCTTTGAACCATTGCAAAAATTCCATTGGCAAGAGTCTCAAAAAATATTCTTTAATCGACTTCAAAATGCCCGAAAAACCCCCTGCGAAGTCACCGCCAAAGTCGCCACAGAAATCGCCACCGAAGCCCCTGACCAGCATCACCAAACCGTCCACATTCGGGACTCCTAATCCCAGAGGCCCCAAGCCATCAGGCGCTGGAACGAATCGTCCTCCTCTGGCCAATCAACATGATAGGGTGAGATATGTCAACGGTAGCTAGTCCTTATGTCAGCAGTTCCTAATTTGATATTATTTTGTCAACTAGTTATTTCATATTTAAAATTTTAATTTTTAAAATCTATATTTATTGTAATGAAAATAAAATTTTATTAAGGTTAAAAGGTTCCTTTCATACATAAGATCATTTAATTTGTGGTTTATACCATCGATACAGTTGACAAAATATAATACCAAATCGATTCAGATAAATTTAGTAAATTTATTTTAATTTCTACAGATTTGGAAGATTATGAAAATGTAATTACGGAAACGATTTTAAGGTAGTGTGTGGAAAATATATTTGTACTTACCAAAATCAAACTTAATAATTCTTAACATTTAGGATGGCTCAAGACAACTCTTCGAACTTTTAAACAAAACATAATTTATAATTCAAAATGTGTTTTGAATAAACTAACGACGGCGCTGAATAAAGCGAAAAAGTCCCACAACATTATGAAAACTCTTATAATTCTGCGGTTAGCTGACTGGAAGTTGAGGAAAGCGCAGGCGCTGGCTCTCAAGAGAAAATAGGGAAATTTCAATGGCAGGGTTATTTTCTCTTTCAATCTGATGGCTTATCTCGTTGTGCCTGAAGGTGGCTTTGAGTTACAAAAATGAAACTAAATAAGTACTATTTTAATTTATTAAGCTTACATATTTCATTTAATTTTACTCTCTTTAAATTTATGGATTTTTTTTAATACAAAAATTAGGACATATGTACATATATATATATTTTTTTTATTTTTAATTTTGTAAACAATTTTAAAATCTCACGGGGGAATTTTAGAATAAAGGTTGAAATAAGATTGCAAGTTTAGGCAATAAATTTAAGCTTTCCCTGCTAATTATATCGTGATAAATGACTTTTATTTGTATGTTATAAATTTATACATATAATATTCTTTAACAAACCCTGTTAATTTAGGAAATAAACAGAATTATGTACCAAATAATTCATCAAATATTAGCAGAACGATTCTACTTAGTTATAAATGTTCAGGAAACTGGATAAGTTTTCCATTAAAACCCTCAATCAATTTTATATGTCAGAAAATATGCACCTCCAGGACCTTACCTTCAGCGTGTAACGGAATGCAAAACAGCTTGGGATAGGCCTACTTATCCAGTTCTCAATGCAATTTAAACCAAAACAAACTCAAACTGCCGAGCCTCTCTTCGCCGAGGTCGTTTCATTTTTACTTTCATTCGGCAATTGAGTGGAAACGATGTTTTGGGCCACGACGAGCCAGAGACGAGCGCAAAAATCCCCGAGCTGGCGTATCGACCGAGGAGCAAAGGACTTTTTGGTGCTCGGGAACGTTTTTGCCAGTGGCGCGGCTCAGTTTCGTATTCGTGTCGGAACGTGGCGCTACGGTCTTCTGCTCAAGGATACGCGAGCCATCCGCTTCAGGAGCAAACGCGGCGCGTGGAACCCAACGGAAAATAAGAAAAACACAGCTGAAGGCTCGAGAGTTTTCCTGTGTGTGCGAGTGTGTGAGTGCCGCAGTCTCTGTGCGAGTAGATCCTGGCCGGGGGTCCTGTGCCGTTTTTTTGGCCGTTTAATTTTATTAGCGGCCGCGCACAGAAATACAATAAATGAAAAATTAAATATTAATTTAATTTTGCATACGAATCGGGCGGCAAACGCGGCCATTTCGCTGATTGAAATGTTAAATAGATATTAAAAATTAATGGTTATATTTCGGCAACATACAATCCCGACTGAATCGCCGTATAACACATTGGCATCTTGGCCAACTCCACCACCGACGACGACGACGACGACGGCCGGGTGTGCGTGTATATGACTTTATTAAAAATTGTAAATCCCCCCTTGCGCGTCGTGTTCCTGCCCATTGTTTGTGGACCCACGTAAAGACATTTCGCAGACCGCTTCAGATTTCCCACTCGTTTGTTGTTGCACTTATCGCGATTACGGAGCACGGAAAGCCAGCTACTTGAACTGCAGCTGCATCTATAGCTACAACCACAACAGTCCTCGAGAAGTGCGTATCAAAAAGCAAAAAAAAATAAGTATTTGGCCCAGGAAAAATAATATACACAGCGAGAACAATGTTCACATGAATAAGGGTTAAATAAAAGTAAAGATAGGGTACAACATCAAGCAAAACGAAAAGGAAATTTTTACTTTATTCTTGTCCTATTTAATTTAGAACTTGACTTTAATTTATTTAATGCAATTTATTTATTTATTTTTGTTGTTGTGTACATGTGACAAATCCCGGCTTAAGCGAGCGGTAGCGGCTTTAATTAATATCACGTACTCGCCATGAGCACCGCCTCGGGTAATCTTTAATGTTTATCGCCTTGTAGTCGATAAAAATGGCTGTTGGGGGCCGCATATATTATATTCATGAAAATTGTTCTGCTTCCTGCACTTAATTGCATTTAACTGGCAATTAATTGCTTTGAGCCAAGCCAACTCTCGCTTGGGAAATTACGTAGCCAGAAACAAGGGTCTTGTGGAGTTGTTACCTCCAGAAATAAAGGCACTCGTATAAATAAAAATTCTATTCCCTCATCTTTGATAAACTTATACATCTATGCAAAAATTTTAAACAAAAGGTCAAAGCTATATGGGGAACAATGAACAATTCTTTCTGTTGATAAACTTACAGTGAATACAGTAAAACTGTCCACAAAGTATTATAAAATGCAAACAGTATTCAGAAAACTATATTCATTAAAGAACCAAATCATAAACTAAAATATAATCTGATAATCGCATTATTAATATGAATATTTAATAGGTATTTTATATTGTTATAGTTTCACTGTATACCAACCGAACAGAATATATTCGAGGGGAACAAACAAAAGCAGATAGCAAAATTGTATATGAACAATTTGTAAATGCTGTATAGATATTGAAATATTATTTGCAAAGGAAAATTCCTGCTTTTGAACAAACGGAGATATGATGAAGAAATTCCAGATTTGTTCAAGCATTTGACCAAAATTTATGGCACGACTCTAAAGCAGAGTGGTTCAAGCCAGTTAGTCCATGCATAAAAGCTCCTTACAACAAGCCAAAGAGTATGCCAAAAATCCAGGCCTAAACTCAGCCGCACAGATAGGCCAAAAGAGCGAGCGACAGAAGGACCGGAAGACAGACAATCGGGCAAGTGGGCTTATTTCTAAGGGCAGGCTGGAATGCTGCTGGCAGCCAGGCCATGGCAAGCATTTTGGCCAGACAGCGGGGCTATGCACTCACCTAACATATCTGCTGCAGGATCACGTTTTGCAATATTTATGCATGTCCCTGCCAACAGGAGATGTGCACTCATCGCTTGGAGTTAGAGTTTTTAAATAAAAAAAAAAAGGCTGGAGTGTGTGTACAGAAGCACTCTGACATTGGCCAAAAGTAACACTCCAGTCTCAAGTGGGCCAAAGCGATGCACATCCGAAAATTACATTTAAAATTATTTAATTTGGCAGAGGGTTAGGGCAACATACAAAAACGAATATAAACACACATTTACAGGGAAAACAGAAGCCAGGCGACAGATGGCATAACAACAAAAAATTAACAAAATAAAAACAAAGATAACAAAACAAGAGCCAGAAAATATGCACAAAATGGATTTAAGTTAACCCAATAAGTATCTTAAGCATTTGATACAAAAATTAAAAGAAGGAACCACAATAAGCCTCTATTAAATGTAGGAAACTTAACAAAGTTGGATTATTTATAAGGCTTTGTTTGTTTCACAAAATAAGTTCTATTCGATACATATTTCAGATAAAAGTGTTGTGCCGTAGGATTATTATTTGAAAGCTGGGAATTATTTATTAAAATATTCAAGTTGGATAATTTTAATCTCTGTAAGGATATGGTAGTGTGGCTTAGAGTTTTCTACAAATGTATATATTTTTAAACATCTTTTTTAGTCCCTTGTGAACTGTGGCATCGATGATAAATAATGGGTTAAAAACGAAATGGCTAAGCAGGATATTTCAACGCCCACTTCTCGTTGCCTTGTTTGCTCGAGCCCAACATTTTTGACAGAAGCTCGCAGCAAGCTGAACATGTGGAGCAGCTGCGGAAAAAGATTGATCCCACGCAGCCTCACAGATGGGAGGAGGAGGAGAAGGGACCGAAACGAAACGAAACGAAAGCCATTCCATTCCCTTGGTCCTTGACTCTTTCTGTGAACTATTGCAGTGACCGAGAACGTTTGTTTTGCTTACTCCCCGGTTGTTGCTTGCTTACAGCTGTCCGAATTTATTACGGCCAAAACAAATCGGTGAACTTTCTATGCCAACTTGCAGCAGCAACTTTCACGTGTTTCTCGCCGAGTGCTGGTATTTCCGCATTTCCCTGTGCATTCTCTCCCGGCTTCGTGTTGGCCTTTTGTCATAAAGCTTAACACATAAAAATGTTATTGTCCGATGTGGAGTTGTGTGGCTTATGCTGATTTGTGTTGACCCAGTAAGCTGGCACTACCAATGGCAGGGGGAAAAGAAAAGAGGGAAATCAGAAGTAAGTTTTATGGTTGTAAGGCTGATTTAGGACTCCCAGGCGAAGGCTTTAAAGTCTCGAGCGGGACGGAGGGAAGTGATGTGGGTCAGACGTTGCATATCAGTGTCCAAATTATTGGGCTGCTCATAAAACCCAGGGTTACAGAGCGGGATAATGAAGGTGCGCCGATAAATTTAGTCCAACAAATTCCGTTCTGTTGAGCTACGGGAATTTCAACTAAGATGAGGTACCTGCTTGAATTTCTAGAACTGTAAGGAAATACTCTTTAAAATCTACCTTAAAACTACTTCTGGGTAAACTATAAACACCACCTTTACTTATTTAAGGCCAAGAGAATTAATAACTTCAACAATAAACAAACGGCTGACGTAATAGCGGCACTTAACCCTTATCGAGTCCAAAGTTAACCAGTAATTGCGGCACTTGAACAGTTAACTCCCAATAAGCTCGGTGAAAGCGTTTTAAGACCTCCGCTCTCATCGGGAATTACACTTCATTTGCCTAACCAAACCGACGCCCAGGCTCCCGCCGAGAGTTTGCGCAAAGTTTTAACTCTTATCTGTTGTCTATCAGGAAATTTTATGCGATTTTGTTTACCTATTTTAATGAGAACCGAAAAATGCTCGCACAATGGCGGCGATGAGCGAAAGGAGGCACGGCAGCTGGTGGCCAAAGTCCTGGCAAAAACCAGGTCAAAGCAAACACAACGAAAACAGAGCGAAAGGACGAAAATTTATGCAAAACTCAAAAAACACAAAACAAACCGGGAGAAACCGAAAAAAAAAAAACGCACGAAAAGGACGTTGCAAGAAGCCATGTCCGAAATGAAACTGCGAATGTATGTGTCGTGTGTTTTCTCTGTGTGCGTGTGTGTGTGAGTGCCACAAGTGTGCAGCATGTGTGTGTTCGTAGGTGTGTAGAAATGGCGTGGATTGTATCAAATTTAAATGCACAACAGTGAAATAATGAATTCTTTTGTTTGTATTTGCATCTGTGCCTGTTGTTGATGAGCGCGTTGGTAGAACCGAAATACCAAACACAAAACACAGAAAGAGCCAAGCCTAACCGAACCGAAAAATAAAACAATGAAAAACAGAAGAACAGAAGAACATACACGTCATAGCAACACAGAGAAAAATTAAGTGATTTACCAAAGTTCATCTCTTATGGCCTATCGAGGTTTTCTTATTATTTATAAAAATAATATAGATATCGTTTTTAATATATAAAACGTTAAGGAGATTACAGAGTAGGTATTCTCTTATGACAATTGGAAATTCGTTTATTTATTTAGTTAGTTTAGAAACTTTTATTACACAAAATGCAGAAAATTGTGTGGAATCTCTAGTGTCATAAATAAATATTATCCTAGTTCAATTGTATATCTTAGACACACAACCAACTGAATGCCAAAACATAGTGTTATTTTATATAGATTTTCCCTCTTAAACTACATCTTTAAATTTTGGATATGCCTCATTTATTATTTAATTAACATATAAGACACCTCAGTTATTTGTAAAACCTCCGATTAAACCTCATTAAATGTCTTGCTCTCTGTGTACCACATAAAACTTTGTGTTGCTGTAGCAAATATATTTACAGTTGCGGAGATGAAAAGGCCAGATGGAAATTTAGCTTATATGGAAATTAATGTGGGTACAGTGAAAAGTTTTTGCTCCTCCTGCACGTTTTCGGCAAGGGGAAAATTTACTCAGTCAACAGTTGGTGAAAAAAGTGGTTGGACTACGAAAGAGTGTTGCCCTTTCCACACTTTCACAGTTGAAATAAGGAGGAATTATTTTATTTTTTAAACTTATTATTTTTTTATTTTATAAAAGTATCTCAAATCTTAAGGAAGCTCAGTAAAGACTTCCTTTTTAATTTCAAGAATTCCCATTAATTTTCTATTTCAAAATATCCAACTTTCATTGGTTCTTTTTTTGAAAGAAATAAAAGTTCGTATAAGAAAGTGCAAGAAATAACTCCTTTGTTTTTCCGTCTCAATTTGCTTCCCTTTTTTCTTTTTTTTTTGGTTAGCTAATTGCATGCCTTTTGTGTGGAAATGCAAAAAAAGCAATTAAACTTTTGTATTCGCCTGCAAAGGCTCTTCCCATAATTGCATGGTTCAGACTACAAAGCAAGGAATTCGAGGAAAATTATAATTTCAAACCCTAATAACGCGGCAAGGTGTAAGGCTAACGAAAAACGCTAAGTAAGGGCGTGTACTGTGGGGCGTAACGTGGGTTAACTATAACTCAAGTCGGTTGGCGTCAAGCAAAATGTGGGCCTAAATGGGTGGAAAATAGATCTCAGCTCGGGCGGGCACACGGTCTTTTTTATGGGTTTATGGGAAAAGCCTAGCCTACTTATCGGGACTGAACGGAATGCTAATATTAGCACGTGTAACCCCCATCTAATCCTTATCAATAAAACATAGCGGAGAGCGGCTTTTCGGGTCATCACTTCCCAACTACACTTACCTACCTATGCTTATGGTTT